ACAGTGTTCAGGTCAATTATCCAATTATCAAAAATGAGTTGTTGACTGTCGTGTTTGCCTTGGAAAAATTATGTTCTTACTTGTTGGGTACTAAGGTTATATTGTTCTCGGACCATGCAGCATTAGAGTACTTACTTAAAAAGAAAGAGGCACAACCGAGGTTGATGGATACTCATGTTATAGGAGTTTGATCTAGAAATACGAGATAAAAAAGGTATGAAAAATCTAGTTGTTGATGACCTTAGTTGCTTCCCACTGAGTGAGGAGCCTTTATTGTTAAAGGATGAATTCGTTGATAACAATTTTTCTCAATTCGACAATTAAAACCATAGTACACTGATATTGTCAATTATTTAATCACTAATGCACTACCAAGTGAGTTATTTAGAGAAAAGATGGATATGATCAGAAAAGAAGCTATACGTTATGTGTGGAATGATCCTTATTTATGGAAATACTGTACAGACCATATCATTCATCATTGTGTCCTTGAAGTGGAAGTCCCCTCAATTATGAACTTATGTCACTCTCATGCCTGCAGAGGACATTTCGGGGCTAAACGGACAGCTCGTAAAGTGTTGGAATGTGGCTTGTTTTGGCCTTCCCTATTTCATGGCGCATACATCTATTGTAAAACATGCGAAAACTGCCAAAGGACAAGCCACTTAAGTCGTAAAGACCAAATGTCACTGACACAGATCCTAGTTTGTGAGATCTTCCACGTATGGGGCATAGATTTCATGGGGTTGTTCTCATCCTCTTTCAGCAACTCCTACATTCTACTTGTAGTTGAATACGTCTTTAAATGGGTAGAGCCCAAGGCTACAAGAACTGACGATGCTAAAGTTGCTGTAAGTTTTATCGGAAATCATATCTTCGTTAGGTTCAAAAATACCTTGAGCAATGATAAGTGATCAAGGGGACACACTTTTGTAATCAAATGTTTTGAAGGCTCTCTTCAAGAAATATCATATCACCCCTCAGTATCTCCACTGCATACCACCCTTAGACCAATGGGGCAAGCGGAAGTTTCTACAAGGAAGTCAAGTTGGATCCTTAAAAAAAGACGGGTCAATCCCTACAAAAGGATGGAA